AGCCATGGCCGCTGAGCCTGCGCGTCCGGAGCCTGTGCTCCGCGACGGGAGAGGCCACCACACTGAGAGGCCCGGGAACGGCAAAAAAAAAAAAAAGAACCACTTGAAGGAGAATTTAGATCTTTCTTAAAATCTCCAGGAAACTCTCCCAGACCCAGCACATCACAAGGCCGAGTTAGCAACTTTCTGACCCACCTCCAGATACTTTCTATCTCATTCTCCTAACTGCTCAAGCCTCAAATGAACAATAAAACATTCAAGCTCCGGCCCTGCACAAGCCCAAGAAATAAAATAGGGAACACGTATCTCTAAGCAGGTATCTGTGGTTCTGTATATCTGGCTCTCTCCCTAGCCTTTCCAGCCTCAACAAAACTAGAAAAAGCCCCAGTGTGTTCTGGGGGATACATCATTCATTCATTCGCGTGTTCGACAAATATTCACTGAGGATCAGCCTAGGGTATGGGAGAGCAAGGACAGCGAATTCCTGAAAGGTGAAGTCAGAGGAAGATTTTCAGTTCAAGTGAAATTAAAGAAAAATCGAGAGCCTGGTCTCAAGAACAGACACAGTATTTTACGGTTTTTCAATTCAAGTGAGATTAAAGAAAAATCTAGATTCTGGCTTCAGGTGCAAACACAATATTTAACGATAAGGACAGAACTAGAGGCCATTCTAACCAAAGGCCTCTACAGGTGGGATCAGACGCCTGGTTTTGTGGATACTAGTTTATGAAATAGCTCCGAGGGCCAATATTTTGAACAAAATTATTTAATAAAAGTGAAACGAGGAGAGAAGAGGAGAAATGAGAAGGCACGTGAGTGGGGAGAAAGGGAGAGCTCGGGAGGAAAGAGAGAAATTCACCCCTTGCGCTCTTTTCTGCCAGAGAGAGGTTTGAGGGGCTTGTTTCAACCTGGCATCGCCGGTGCAGAACAAAGACGCTGGGGAGAGAGAGCGAGAGAAGGGGCGTCTCAGGCACGCTTGTGGGCGACTGGGGCCAGGGGGCCGCGAGGGGCGCGCGCCAGCAGCAGCCGCTCGCGGGGGGAGCCTCGCACCTCGCCCTCCGGGGCCGGGCGCCGCCGCTGTCCCCCGTCCGGCCCTGCGCGGACCTGGGTCGGGCGCCAGGGTCCAGAGTGGTCCCATGTCGCCCCTCGGGGCTCGCGGGGAGCTCGGCCCCGACAGCCCCGCAGCAGACGCGGTCGCCTCGCGATCTAGCGACCCGCGGTCCGCGCTCCAGGGTAGGGTGCGGCGCGGTGGCAACTTACCCGTGCGCACAGGGTCGTCCGGAGAAGCCATGGGGACTGGGTGGGGCCGACGGGCGCCCGAGCGGGGCCGGGCTGCCGGCGGGACAGGGGAGGAAAGCCGGGTTGCAGGGCTCCGTTGCCCTGCCTTTCGGACGCGCGCGGAGCGAACCTCTGCAGCTCCGCGCGCCCCTCCTCCGTCCGCTCCTCCCCTCTCTCCGCCGCTCTTC